CGATTTCCTGTTCGTCATTCTTCGTCGTATGCGATGCCTCAGTGCTTATGTCTCAACTATCTAGTAGCCGATCATACTATCCGAGCAACGTGCTGAATTTGGCCGTCTTCGACGCTTCGTGGGCCAGCTAATCCTCTACCAACAGCCTCGCAACATTCTACCAGCGCTTAGTTCAAGTCCTCTTTGAAGAGTCGTCCGCAAACCTTCCTCTGACGAGTGCCTGTAGACCAGGTATTCATCAGGGCTCGCAAACTTCTGCTGATAATATCACCTAACCCCGTAAAACTAACAACTGTTTTGCAGTGTATGTACTATACGGCAGTTCTGTATATATGCGTCATTGTTGCTGCGCAGGCTACATTGAGGTTTATTTTTAATCCACGAATGTCTACTTACCGTCGACAGAAGGTCGTAGAAGATACACGCAGGTCTATTAGACGTCGACTGAAGACCATTTCAAATGACGAATGTCGTCCTGAAGGTGACTCAGATCCGTAGGGACAGCGGGCGAATAAAGACTAGACAATTCCTGTGAATAGAAAAAGTCATCGATTTGTATGATGTAGAAAAACGGTCCATGCATCGCTCGTTTGCAAAAAGTGCAAATTATAAAAAAGAAAGCAGTCATTATAACTGTGAGCCAAATTGTGCAGCAGATGTTAATAGCGCTACTTGAATCAGTGGCCTCGAGAGCATGTCCTATGAAAAGTGCTAATCCTTATAATACGAAGCCACGATTTTTCTCATGGGACTGTCCTGCTGACGCGGCTACACTGAAATTAGCTTGTTCTCATTGACTACGGTTGAGCGCTGCGTATAATCATATGTAATTCTATTGCAATGGGGAAGTGCAGCGAACGAACAGAGATCTGAGACCACTAACTGGGTCAGCGAGAGTTACTATCGTCACGACTGATCGAAACGAGCTGTTATTGGCCGCATAATATCTCGGGAGGAGTTCAGGGGATTAGATTTCTGTAGCCGCCATATTTTATTTATTGACTGGCTTCATCTTGCGTTCCCCGTATGCGCTGACATAGGTCGCAGGTCATTTACACTAAACTAGTCCTATTTATGTTAAAAATTGTCTCGTTGGGTATTTACGCAATAACTAGACAAGGAAAACGATGCGTTATAAAGGTATATTGAGGTATATGTCTTTTTAAACAAACACTAAGGCTAAATAAACGTTCGATATATTAATTGGGTTGATCAAAATACTACGTTTCTCCAGGCCTCATTTAGCTGTTTTCTTTTTGTGTAATAAGATTTCGATGACGACGCCCGACAGTACACATAGTTCATTATGTACTATGGAGCATGACACATATATATATATGACTGTTCCGTTCGTAGTATGATCGCTCCAAATTTACTTTGAAACAATGCTCCACAATAACGTAAGAAACAAGTCAATTAATTTCCATTTATTCATATAATAGTTTTTGCCTTGTTTGCTACCTCGTTTCGGTGACAGATCCAGTGTTACTCCGGAAGCTCTGTTCCCATATGGTCGCCTCGTTCAGGGTTTGCTAATCCTACACATGGTCCCATAACGTACTTCTTTCTTTCATAAACGTTTCTGTGTGACTAATCCACCTTGATATCTGGTATCCATTTGTATCCGAATTTGCACTTATATACCTACTACTTACGTGTAATCAAATGTAGAGTCATGTTGACTACTATGCTATGCTGCGTTTCGATATCAGCCAATTGGCTGCTGAGCATCGATAGCGTCAGATGAACAAGTACATATCTCTCGTCCGCCATACGACACAGAACCGTTATCATTAAATACTGAATACAGTATGACAAGCCGTACGACAGCGCATGACCTCGGTAGGGTTCAACACGTCATGCGACCAAGAACTATGGGGCTCGCGAGCCAACCCATCACCATTACCTTCATCATTATTGCTGCCAGCATCAGCTTTTTAATGGCACCAGCATTAACAGGCAGTAGTTGTGTTAGTTATTATTGCTAGCAACAGTTCCGTGTGGCGGGAATGGCATCGTTGTTGGGAGAGCAGTGTCTCTTTAGCACCAATATATACATGCGGTACGCTACGCAATAGCTGATATGTATGATGCATACTGCACGCACACAACATGGCAAAATGCATTTGCATACTAAACGATGGTCGCGTCGACGGCGGCGCCGGCGAGTTCGCGAACGAGTTCCCGCTGCGCCCAAAATGTTCCGTTTATCTTGGTGCGGCAGCCGGAGCGCTAGCAACAGCGGCCGCAAGCTCATTGTATATTATAGCTATAGATGCGTCTGTCTATTGTGCCCAGGATGGCTCATTCGGAGGAGAGATGGCCAGCTCCCTCGAACCCCGTCGCCACTTCCTTAGTGACGCGACGCCTCAGCCAGCGACGATTCAACGAAAACACATATCGTACTTATGTACCGTATTATAGCTGTTCATGTAGAGATCTGTCCATTGGTCAAACGTGTCAGCAGAAGCTTTGCCTTGCCTTCGTCCCTCTCCCGTCACTCTGCTAATATGGGAGTCGTTCAAAATCACCAGCGCCCCTTGTTACGAAGAGCGGAGGATTCCGAGGCGATGGTACCGGGATAAGCCAATGTGTCTACTCGAGGAGACAGCGACGGTAGTAATAGTAACAATAATAACAGGCGTATTTCAGGACTAAAGACACCGTCAGCCAGAGGTGCCTTGCGATAGGCTAATCAACCAGCCATGTGAACTGTAGCAATACGCAGTGTATGTGACGATGTTGTTAGCATATTCGCGATATCCTACTGCGAGAGACTCTGAGCCTTCAGACGAGTTGCTGCACGACGAGCTGACTTAGTCTGCTAGGATACATTTACATAGAGATACACATGTTACACTTGGATATATATTATATATGTAGCTAATGACGTTTCCCTTGGCGCGCTAATTTTCCGGGTGGCTAAATGATATACAATGGAGAGAGGGGCACTTACCTATAGAACATTCAAACGTATGCAGCACAGAAACATGTGTTCAGTGATGGGAAATATGGAGTTTGAGGGAACCCGCTGATTTGCACGAAGGTCTTCTGCTAAACAATAATCGATGGTTTTTGCCGTAAAATCGGCTACAGGTAATCGACGGAATAAACAACTGTCAACAGTGACTGGATATGGTATACAGTGACAAGCTGCTTTTCGAACTGTTATCCAGGGATAGCTTAAAAGAGAAAGACGAAATAAGCCTCACTCTTGAAACCTAATATGGCGGCCTCAACGAAACTCGTAGTCATGTACCGGAATTTCCTAAGTTTGTGAACGGTGCACAGATATTCAATTATATTATAATTAAGACTTTGTCTAGTTTGTAGAACTTGCTAATGTTTTTAAATTAAAAATAATATCACTTACTGAACCAGAGTTCTTCGCCATTATGCACAATGCTGTTTAAGCGTATTTTCACCACCGATGAGCTAATTTATTGCAACAGTCTCAATCATTAACATTTTCGGAACGCTTTTGTTTAATCCGTAAATAGCTTTAAGTAGTACGCATGCGCGTTAAGCACTATTGGGAGGGGTAACTCCTTTAACTATCGTTCAAATCCTCTATATGTAAAAAAATTCTAGTAGAATTAAATTGTTGGTCAATAGAAGACGAACAGTCAAAAAAATAAGGGTTTAAAACGGCCAGAAAGCTTAAAGCATGCAAAAGGCTTAAAAAGACTAATTGTCGCAGCTTATCTAAACAAGATTGACAATTGATATCCTGCTTTTTAAAACGACAGTTAATTTCCGCATGAAAAACCTCGGCATTTTAAAAATGACTTTTCGGCATATTCCATTGAACTTTCTGAGCTTATTTAATATTTTCCGGTTCGTCTTACACAAGGGTTCCTTCTTCTTCTCTACTTCTGGAAGGCGGCAAGAAAATCAGACTGTAGGCAGTTAATTCCCAGCCAAAGAGGACATTTTTTTTTAACTTTTGATATAGATTTGTCTAGCACGGAATAATTTGGTAATTTCTAATTTTTGCTTAAATTCAGAAAACGATACGTTCATTCTTTTACTATTCTGATATAGAAAAAATTGACTTAGGCGTCGCATATGATCGCGCGCCCGTCATAATGAATAGCTCCGTAAACTTTTTCCCAATTTTAACGCAACTATAATGCAATGAATACATACTACAGTAGTACGAACACGTTGCTATACAACAAATTTTAACATTGAGCACAATGCTATAGGCTTTTTTTTTGTTCCTAGCTGCACGTTTTGTTGATCCGCTGGTTTGGTAAGGCAGTAATGGTTTACAGGTGTTTTGCCTATACGGAATGGCAATGTAGCTCTTCGTACCGTAACTTAGGTCACGTCACTGAAAACACGTTTGAATTTAGTTAAAGTGGACATAAGCTCTACGCTGTATATGCCCGTGGGCTATACGCTACCAGTCGTGCTGTTTATGTGCAAACGGATACGCATCTGCAATCCTCGTTTTGATATTTACTTATTTATTTTGGGTTCCCACGTTGTTCCAGCTTTAAAATGCTTCCTTGCAACCTCGTTTACATTAGCATGCGGCGCACAGCTCGGCCTGCATTAACGATATTCTTTTATTGACAGTAAGGATCGTATCAAGCGGACTCTCTGGATAGCCATATACCTTGGCCAGAAATAGGCTTTACGTTCTCGTCTGTGCATTCTCATGCTTTGAAGGCCCAACGGCGCTGATGTTGTCCATGGAGCGCGCACCACGAAATCGCTCGCTGAGCCACGGCTGCTCCGCTAAAGCGGCCATCCGAGAGCGTACAGAGTACGGCAAGGTCTGCCCTAAACGAACTCGGCACACCAAGCACGACCGATCTCCTGCAACCTCTCCTCCTTTCCCTTACCGATAGCAGGGCGGAGCTCCGGCGTGAGCTCCGCCTCTAGAGGATGCGGAGAATAAAAGCATCAACATCAACTACGTTTGTAGGAAGTCGTGTAGGATCTGTATTGTCAGTTGTAGTGCAGTAGACGCCTTTTGAGCGAGTGTTTCTTTGGTCTCAAATTCGTCCCGAGTGCAAAATTAGGAAAAAAAAGAAGCGTGCTTGTGTATTCTAGCCAGTGTCTCATATCGAGTGCTTCCGGCGAATTCAAAGCAGTGGAAATCATGTCTTGTAAATGAGAGAAGCGAAATCGTTGCATCTGATCATGACCGTTAGAAGCTCTATGTATCGGGAAAAAAAAGCTACACTCTAAACATTATCCGGCCATAACTTACTATTTGTCCTACAAGAATCTATCGGAAAAAGTGCTTCATATCAGTAGTCCATCTTTCGGACTTCATTGTTACCGTAACGTCGTAACCGGACTCAGCGGAGCTCGACTCCATAAGAGATCTTCGATCTGAAAGTTTGGATTTAAGACGCAGGTTACGCGCATATTAGGACTAAGATATATAGCGAAGGACTTAGCATAAATCAACCCATACATCAATTGCAACATACGCATAATAATAGTAACACGCATAAATAGAGGGAAGGCAAACTGCCACATTTTTTGTCGAAGATCTACGGCGGCCGGTGATTCAGGATGAGTGGTCTTGTAGTTACACAAAATCCGCCAAGATTCGCTTTTTATTCCATTGAAGAGTTGTTGAAGAAGACATCTTCAAAGGAGGCTGCACTGGATCGCGACTCTGTGTCACACGGTCAAGAGGTGCTTGATTTTAGCGGCCATAAGAAAGGTGTGTTTTTAACATTTATCGCGCTGTTTTATTACATGATGCCGGTTGAATCGTTGTCGGGGATACCGAACATTGATGTGCTGAGTTAAGAAAAAGTGAGCTACTTGTGTACCCTATTATTGATTTATTTTACCAATTATGTCTTTCAAAGTCATATCATGACTTTTTATCAGCCATATAGATTTCAGGTTAACATAACGTTTCATGCGTTTTATTTACAAATACATTTTCAATTCAAGCAATGAACCGACGCACAGTTTGATAAGGTAATAAATAGCTTACTCATAAGTTTTACCGGCTTCAACGGGTGCAGTTGGTAAGCGCCCCTTGAGGGAAAACCATCCCTTTATTGGTGGCAAGCCTATAATATTGCTAAGTGTTCGACAGCTGCCGTCTTGTTAAAGAACGGGCCTGTTAGGTGTCAGGGGCTTTCACTCCCTATTAGCAATACTCTTTCTTTCTAATTGCATACCAAGCATAAGACCCCACCTAAGGGCTAAGTTAATGATGTTCCCGTAGATAGTTGTGCCTATGGGCTGTGATAAGGGTGCTTGTGGTTTCAAAACCCTATTTAAAATATCAACGGTATTGTAATTATTCTAAAATTGTTATACTCCTTCGTTCTTCATCACCTTTTCTGGAAAACCTATAGTAAATTACTAATTGAAAAGAAATACTGCTTATCTAGCCCGTAATAAGTTTCGCTTATATATATATATATATTTCCTCGATCATTTTATTTGCAAAATGTCGCTAGCAGCAGTAGTAGTATTTGTAGAAAATACGCGAGCTTTAATTAGTCGACGAGCTGAAACTTCGTTTCGAAGACTTTTCGTTTATGTAGCTCCCCTGTTCAGCGCAGCTATAACTCACGGATTACATGCAATGAATGATTTGCTTAATAATCAGCTTTTAAACAATATGGGTATGATAACCCTTCGCATCCGCTTAATCGCCTTTGTAGTGACATAAGCTTTTACCTCCCGCCCCGATCGTTCCAAATTCGTAGCGACGACAGCGTCGGCCCGGTCGTCGTCTTCTTGCTTTGAACTAACGAAAGCCTCGACGGCTCTCATTCCCAACAGAGATTGCCGCTCTGGAAGTACTCCCTTGTTCTATTAAAACGCGACCCACCTTGCCCACGACGACACGAGCATGGTCGAACTTCCTGCAACAGAAACGCCTCCCCCCTGAGCTCGCTACAGCCTAGCTTACAGCCCTTTTTCGCTACGTAGACATGTACGGCCTAGCGATGGCAGTGCTACCGTATGACTTTATGCTTTCGTGACGGACGGTCTCTAGCCAACCAGTTACCTTCGCCTGCAATGGGGGCTGGTTTACGGCAGCCCTTCTGCAAAGTCCAATTAATTGCGCTTGGTTTTTTTTAGCACACAGCTGTACAATAGTGAGACTAACGTAGTCAGACAGTTCGCTTGATGTGCACCGACCTAATTAGTAGGCGTACGGAACCAGGAACAGGGCGTAGGGTAAAACAGTCTCTACCGGTAGTTTTCCATGGTGTTCTACCATTTCATGTAGAAGTCAGGCAACTGGTAAAATTTGTGGGCGCAAAGAGGGTCGGTGTGACTTATACTATTCCCGTTATTTATGTTTTTGGCCGAATCAGATAAACAAAAATTAGTATTAGAGGTTAGCATTATGGCTGGAAAAAAAACGTAACGTCGCTCCGCTTCGGAACGTTTCTCAGAGCGAAAGATTTTCCTTTGCCCAATTTATTTAGACGGCTATGAATTTATACGGTTGTATCAGAAATAAATGAGTATTCCTTTAGAGTAGTAGGTGGGTGTGCGTACATTAACGTTACACTACATAGCAATAAATCCCCGTTTCGGAACGACGAAATTTAATTGATTGTGTCAATTTAATTGACAGTGTCGCAAAAACCAAGGGCGATTTTTTTCATTTAAAACATTTCCGTACTGAAGACGTCTGTCAAAGACTATTATTTAAACTAAGCATTTGTCTACAATGACACAGATGAACGTGACACTATGTCCCCCCCTGGTGCGGGCTCCCCCATGACGCGATCTTCGGAAGATGAGCGAAGCTTCATCGATGAGCTTACTAATGACAAACCATCAAGAAAAATACGGCGTAGCCGGACCACATTTACGACATTTCAACTGCACCAATTGGAGAGGGCATTTGAGAAGACGCAGTATCCCGACGTATTTACAAGAGAGGAACTAGCACTCCGGCTTGATCTTAGCGAGGCACGAGTCCAGGTTCGTACTGAATTTAATATAATAGTAAAATAATATTTTACTCTTTTTTTCAAAACCTACCCTCTCAATGAATGAATTGCATGTATGTAAAGAGTTAGTAAGTAAAATAGTATATGTTAATTTAGAACAATTTACGAACCAATTACATATATATACACTGAATTTGTTAGAAGTATCATTTCTCGCAGTTTTAGTGGCTGTATTCATTGCAATCATTCACTGCGCATTTTCAAAATGTCCTTTTTTCAACCCGCAAATAACTTTTTAATAGATCGAATGCGGTAAGCAACAGCAGTAGATAGAAGCCTGGTATAGTGTAGCTCATATATGATGTGTACAAAAATTTCAGCAGAACTAAGCGTTGGCATGGTAACAGGCTATAAGTCCTAAAGATACAGAGGCTCAAAGTGAACAAAGCGACCAAAAGGTGTAAAAATGGGTAAAACCCCCAAAAAAAACTAAACGCTGATGCTCATCTATACGACCCAACTGCGAATTTATATTCTCTTTTAAAAAATGGCGATTGATTTCCCAACAGAAAAGTCTACTGTTTTAATAATGGTATTTGATTCATATTCCCTGGGCCTCGAAATCTAAGCCCTATTGGTAACCTTCCGATTTTCTTCATGGAAATCGTTCTCGGATTATCTAAAAATTGCACGAAAACTGACGATGATGCAAACCGTCGATTTCAAGACATAACGAAAGTGTTTAATTCTGTCGAGTTTGCTCAGCACAAACAGCTTCAATGATGGTTAATCCCAATTCAAATAGCGAAAACAACGTACCGCTTTCCGTCCTGATAAATTTATTATTTTATTCTAGAGTAGGCTAGTTTTTCTTTAATCGAAAATACCGTACGCCCAAACAAACAGCCCACTGTCCGGAGCGCTATCCTATCCATAGATAGGTGAAGCCATATGGACCGAAACTCACCTAGCGCTATCGTTGAAAACAACTGCTTCTAGAGGAAAAAAATTTCGTATATCCGTCAGATTCATAGACTTTTCTTTATGTGATCAAAATTAACTCGCCACAATTTATTTGTCTTTGAGGCAATATCAATTGAAGACCCTTGTGGTTTTGACCCATACGGCCTCAGCAGGTGGGATCATCTGGGTCAGAGATGGGGCTAGTAGAACACTAATGACTGTTTTGGTCATGCTTTTTACCCAAAAAAGGGCTGCGACTATGGGAAGAGAAGCTGTTAACGTTAAATAACTTGCTGCCAACTTCATTAAACTGAAATCCGTGAACTACGGTAGTCGTGCATAATTCTGGTATGAATAATTATACATGAATTCTGACCAATAACTCTGAAGTCGTGAGAGTTTCGTCACATGTGATATAACAAACGGCTTGAACTGCGTTGACAGGCATGCACATGTGTACATTTTTGCCGTACTAAATAGAGATCACTTAGCTCTTTGGATCTTTCTACAACATTAGCATTGATAGTATCGGCTCTCTATTTACTCGAAGCGTAGTGGCTTATACAATCCATCTCCATTCTGGCTTATATAGCTGTCATTGTGATCGTGTGGCATAATTCAATGTAATGATTTTTATAGAACGTAATTTACTTCCAACGTACCTTGGAAAAATGTCACTTTGACATGGGACAGGCAAAATTGTGATAAAGGATAACATGGTTATTTACCTTTTTTATCGTATAATAAAAATTCAGTAGAATGCGAAAAGAACTAATAAAGTGTTTCATGCAGTCCCAGCGTATGAAATTGAGTCATAGAAAAAATCGGGTAATGCGATTAAATAGCGTTAAATCTTTGAGCTGTACACATCTGAAAAATTCTGAAAATTTAATAATATTAACACTTAAAATAGAAATTTCCTTGATAGAAAAAATGTAGTCCTATCGAAGGCAAAGGGACCCGTAAGATTTAGTAACGTAGCCACATGCTCTCTGCGATGTGTTGAACGCCGTTAGATAATCCCCATCATCGTCATCTTAAGCATCGTCTCTTTTCCTTCAGTTGTATGTGGCCGTTGTACCGGAAAGTCTTTTCGACGCTAAGAGAGCTCGACAGCTTCGTTCTCCCATGACCAGTCTAACTTTTGTTTCCTTATCAGCTTACCAACTACGACGTGCCATGGCCCATCGAAGACGAAAGCAAAGGGGGAGAAGCGAAAGCGTTTCAGGCCATTTTCCGTTAAATGAAGTGTGCCTAACACGTCAACTTAATGTCCAACACCTTGAGCGATTTTCTCTCAATTCAGGCTCCTTAAGAGGCATTTTTGCCAGACGCCGGACTTTTTTCCTGCGGCCATGTTCTATTCGCTACCTCCGACGATATCCGCAAAAAACTGACGAATTTATTTCGTTTACAAATGACAACTGCTAAGCGAATAGGTCGGGTCTCCAAATTAGGAAGTACCGGCTTCTTAATTGGTGTGAAGCTGAGCCGTTTTGGCATTTGAAAGATCTGCCTACATGGGCAGCTCTGCAGGCTGGTACCAGTATAGTTTCTAGCAACCAACTGTCGAGCAAGGTGATAGATTGTTGGAAAGTGGAAAATTTGCACATTTTTTCAATCCCTGTTTATTTGGCTTTACAATATGTATAAGTACCTCTAGATAAAAAGAATAAAACGTATCGATTAAAATAAAACACAGTAAATTGGGAGCGTGGTTCATTCAGTTGTCCATTATTGCTAGCCTCGCCAGGTTTTGCTGATTAATATTTGATGCGCGCATCAAAGCAAAAGATGCATTGCAGTTTTTATTGCCCAACTTTGTTATGGTCACTACCAATAGGATACAATTTAAGGGAACTAGGACAGAATGAGGACTTATTTGTATTCGATTATGAAGACGTTAACTCACGAACTGAGCTGATGGCCATTCTTGTCAAGTGGAATAGAACCCTGTCTTTGTGGGACCAGTCTGATTTGCGCTTGAGCGTCTACCTGTTGCTTTACACTGGCATATGTACGGGTCTGACTCCGCCGCCTAGCAAACATGGAAGAAATGCACGCAGTCATCTAGTTTCATTACAGACTATCACTTGATTCGCTTTGTTTCTGTATAGCGTGTTCCTGCCAGGCTCAACCCACATCACTCGCATCACTGGCAATAGCTCAATATTCGGATTTGTTCACACTAGAAAAATACCTCGCAGTATCAGTATTTACCCTTAGTTTACCGTGAACTACCCACTGTTGGGCTTCAGAGACTACTTCGAGAAGTGAAGTTGGAGTTTGTAAGCTTTGCGATTTTGATGGTTTTGTCCAACTCTTCGATTTGAAAATCGAGAGTCGGAAAGCCGAGTTCGAAAAGTGAGCACGACCTTAAAACAGGATAGGGGAGATGGAGAGCTCGCTTTCGCGTCAGGGATACGATGAATTATGGGATGGTTCTAGCACTCTCTAAAATTTACTCAGTGTTCCTCTCACCCTGGAATTATTTGCTTAAACGTTAGTGGGCCCATTTGTCCTTGTCTTTTTCGTACTGCTTTTGTCGACGTTTCAGGCACATCGATGAGGCGAGCTCCTCCGTTGGCGGAGTGGTAACTGAGCAAGCACTTATTGTAGTGAGTAGTGGAACAACGCTTCGCAATGTCGCGGCAAATCAGTGTCATTCATAAGCAGCCCCTACGATTTTCCATTCCTCGCTTCCTCACCGCTTCGGCCCAACTTGATTCTCCCGCCTTTTTCTGCTTGTTTTGCCCAGAGCTTTACCTTGTCTTCGTTAAGCTCTCTTTGGCACTTCAACCCTTAAACTCCACGATGTCAAATTGCCTGGCTAACACAACAGTTGATGTCCGCCGCTGTCTCTCCTAACAGTCACGGCAGACCTGTAGTACTCGAAACCCAGTCTGTTTTCAAAGCTCGACTCTCTGTTCTCCTACAGATGAGAAGACGATCAGGCGAACGAAGTTCGCCGTTCCTTCTGTAGCTGAATGTGTTCCCTCCTCGCTTAGAGCGCAACCGTCGGACACTTTTTCTTCTCCGCCCTAGGTACGGAGCAGGACGTTGCCTGGACGGTGTATGAGAAAGCAGAAAAGACGATTAGAAGGGGAAATTTTCACCCCTTCACTGAACATGAAAACAATGACAGTGGTAGTCATCGGTGAAAAATATTTGCGTGTACCATGATGAAATGGAAGAGCTAAATGCAGTAAAATTGGCTATAAGAAGGATTCGAGTTTCTCATAGGCAAGCAAATGTATATCACAGTCGTTGCATGAAACTCAATAAGCTTTGTATAACAAATTGGTATATAAAAGAGCTTAGCCGTGGTTTATCGATGGCCGTGTTGCTCTAGAATGACCCATGCATCGTTATGATGCCCCCACATACTTACATCGTGTAAGTTTGCCTCTTCGCCAAAAGGTCCTGTTTTCTAGGAACAGAAGACGGTGACAGGCGAACATGTACATCCTGTTGATTGTTATGATTATTGGTTGTTTTTTCAAGGACCTTGTGATGAGAGCGAAGGTGTTAATTTCAACATAGCCGCCTGCGACATGAATAGTTGTTCATCTATGGAATCGAGTTTGCATTCCTTGTCTTCTACTAAATTTTTGCTATTTGATCCGTTCTGTTTAAGTCGTTAGCCCGAAAAATCTCATTTACAGCCAATAGTGCTTCCGGCTAATAAGAAGCGCCATTAAGGGCACTTTCCATTGCCGGTAGATGGCGGGCTCATCGACTCGCCTAAAGCTGTAGTTTCGGATCATCATAGCTCCTCTCTGTTGGTTGTTATTTCTGAGCTCAATATGAGTTAATATAAATAGTCACCTTCTATAATGTTAAACATCCTATTGTAGAATATAATAGCATGACCCTTAGATGTCTCGATGATTAAGACGTCCAGTATGTGAGGAAGTAGACAGTCAATCAGTGTATATGTATTTACACAACGACAACGTAGATCCATTGTATGAAGCGATTGAGGAATTAGTTGAGAGACGTTCTGGGTCTTTATTGATTCGTGTAGATCAAGACAAATAAACACTTCAATACTAAACGAATAACGTAACGATGACAATGATGATGACTCAAATCGATCTCCTCCTTATCTCAAGAGCTAACATAAAACATGTTTTAAAAACAACCAAAGTCAGTGATACTTTTTCTAGAACTTGTAACTTCGTTTGAACAACTAAATTGGGAGCAAGTTGAAAGAGATTTATATGTGGGATTACTGCGGCATTCATTGGCGCCCGACAAAGTCACTGATTCGTCTGGAAAAAATTCATGCAAGTTAGTCATCTGTTATTGGATCTATCGCACTGTTTTAGTACAAATGCTTTCACTCTATAAATTGTCATTTTTTTTTTTTAATGTATAACTTTAGGCGTCCGGCTACTACACTTATTCGAACTAGTCTCATCTATTTTGGATGTTTTAACTAATGTGACCTTGAACATAAACATCGAATCAGATATACATTTAGAACAAGTTACGGGTCGGCCTGGCTGTGCTTTGTTGCCTGTCAAGTGGGTCTGTGTGAGTTGGACGCCCTGCAGGCCCCGTTCACTGATCGCCTATTATCATTTCCGGTGTTGCCAATCGACAAATAATTTATTCGTCCTTGGTGAGCCTAATAGAGTCGTCCCACAAATTCTTGATTATTCTATATTTAGAGAGCTTCTAAGCTTTCAAATGATAATTCGTGCTAATTTTCAAGTGTCCTTAACGAAGCAAGGCGAAAGGAAAGTTTTGTTGTACAACTGTCGTTAATGATGAATGCCATAATGAGACTCTACTACCGATATGATTTGTATTTCCGGTCCGACCGACGGTCACGTTGCATGAGAAGCGACTTCGAACGGTGCAAGTGTGCATGCAGGGAGCGAGATGTACGAAATACGGCGAAGAATGCAAGGCATGCTAAGAAGTTGGCCAGACTTCATCTAGTACGACTCAGTGCTTCGGCCGCGTCATTTGCTAAACTCTTCTTTTTTCTATCCGGGTAGAATCGTAAAAGCTCAGTCTAGAAAGTTGACTGGATATTTGGCCTGTTAGTACTAGCGGCATCGACGCTAATAGTTGTAGGTAATAATGATGTTGTTGCTGAGGTTAAAGTTGTCGAGCCGAAAGATTGCTTCGTTACTGAGTGACGTGTGTATGTTTGGACCTGTGTGTGTGTGTGTGTGTGTGTGTGCCCATTTGGCGGCACTCGACATCTGGTCGTTGGGACAAATATTATTGTTAGGCTTAGAGATGCCTAATTGTGGGTCGGCGGCGGCGGCAGCGGCCGCTTTCTGCCTAGTCCTCTCACGCTGCGTCTAGGTCCGTCGAGTTTCAGCCAGCATCGCCGGCGAGGGGTTACTAGCAGCACCTCTAGTTCTATCATCATGTTCTATCGCAGTTGCATGGTTGTTCATGTCACCGATGCGACTATGAAGAATAAGAAGCCTCTTCTACTAAGAGCACCGTCAGCAGAGCAACTCCTAACTATGCTTGAACGCGAGATCGAGCTAGAGACGATCACTAAGCCATGGCAGCGGCTGCTTCAGAGGCGGCGGGCGTTAGAGAACTAGTGTGTTTAGCATTATTGTGGTAGTAGAACGATGATGGCTCACGTCGGTAGACTGATGCCGTTGTCGATCGGTGACATCGGATTTCGTCACAAATTCTTCGCTTGCCAGAGCGATCAAAAATATTGAGGGGACGTGAGCGGCATTGAAGTGCAAGAACTTATAGTAGCTAGACGTTTAGACTCGTATGGGTGTAAGTAAGTAGAGTACTTCAGCAACTTTAGTTCGTTTCACAGTCGACTGACGATAGAGTGCTAGCAACTTATGGTGAGGTACTTATGTGTATGGGTGCGTGTTTGAGGGGGATTAACTAATTGTGTCCCTGTACGCAAGTTTAAAAGTATGCCTACTCAACCGCTGGCACTGAGCTGTATTTGTAGTGCGGATAAGTTAACCATCCATCGATTTCTCTGTTATGAGTAAGTGATACGCATGTAGCCGTCACAGCATTAGCAGAGATTATCGGGGCATTCGAATTGATTTCGCTGGACTATAGTCAACTTCTTCAGCTAGAATGACGCAAGTGCGTAAAATTCATGCCTGCTTTTTTGCTGCGTATGCGTCTTCTTGTTACAGGTTTGGTTTCAAAACCGGCGCGCGAAGTGGCGCAAGCGTGAGAAAGCGATGGGCCGCGATAGTCCTGTACAGTACGGACTACCAACAGAGGCGTCATCATCAGCCGCGGCTGTGGCAGCAGCTGCTCACCAGCTGCAGTTGCAGCAGGCGGCCCGACAGGAGCTTCTAGCGGCAGCGGCAGCGGCGGCAAGTGCTGGTCGATTCCCATCGCCGACGGCGACGTCAACAGCAGCAGCGGCCGCAGCAGCTGGAGTACAATCGGGAGCGACCAGCGTTACCGAATGGCAGCTGGCGCCTTACTGGAACCAAAAGTTACTCTACATGGCAGGGGTCCCATTTCAAGGGGCGCTACAGAGTCTTCAGGGTCTGCCAAACCTACAGAATATACAGCAGAGTGTACAGAGCATCCAGGTCGGGCTACAGGGTCTTCCCACGCCGCTTCTACTCAATCAGCACCATCAAGAATCGCTGGAGCTACTTCGGCGGAAGGCCGAAGAGGAACGCCGAAACAGCAGCAGTCCCGTTGATGTCGCTGATCCGTCGTCTCAGTCGTCGCCTGCACCGCCCCGTTTGGCCAGTCCCAAAAAAGAACTGCCTGACGATTAGGCAGCATCAGCGTCAGCAATAACATCATAAGCAGCGGTAGCATTAACAATAGCTAGCAAGCTTGTACTCTGCGTAAGTGTCTGTACATGGTTTCGATCGACAGTGATCCTCGCTGTGTCGTTCGACCGTGGCGTAATCCGTCTAATCTCAGGTATAATTCAGAATAGTCTACAACTACTGCATTATTTTGACATATTACATCTATTCTACATATAATAGTGCATACTCGCTCTTGTTAAATCTGCTACTCCGTTATTGCTGCTGCTGCTACATAGTTGGTGACTCTGGCTAATTGAAGGCAGCTGGAAACGACCTTGTACAGATTCCCCATGACCGGGACTAGATGGAAAGTGAGCTAAAAGAATATGGATGAATTTGATGCAAATGAATACTGGCGGATGGGAGAAAGTTTTGACTTTACTTGCTAATGCTGAAGAAGGGACGACAAATCGATAAAAGACAAAGAAGCCTTTTTCTCTCCATCCTTTTCCTTTTCTCTCTCTCTCTCTCTCTCTCTCCCCCCTCTCTCCGTCGCTATCTATCTATAT